AATTATCAAAGGTTTTTGACACCTGAGAGACACCGTAGCAACTCCTTTGTGTTTGGAAGCAGGGGTGGGGGTGGGGGGAGGACCAGGGAGGATGATTCAACCACTCAACCACTAGATGTCGCTGAAAACAACAAATCCTACACACTGTGCCTTTAAGACAATCGATGCATAACGTAGCTACATAAACTTTATACACAATGCGCAGTAACAAACCAAGTTAAACTGTTCTCAGCCTCCAGTCATTTTTTTCTGCTTCCAGAGTGACCCGTACTGGACAGTAAAATCTCTGTCAGTGAAGGACCGCAGCAGAATTGGGAACCTGACAGTGTGCAGTCTCGTGGAGATGCTCCGTCTGGCAGCCCGGGCCAACAGCTCTGCACTGCTCAACATACGCAAGCCTTTACCGGACCACCCGCGCTTCCGCAGCTGGTTTATGGACACACTGTGGACTCTGCAGAAAGCAGGCATTTCTCAGAAAAAGGTGAGATAATTACTTTGTATTAATCTGTTAGATTTAGTTCTTTGATGTAAGTGTGTTAGTCTTATTTTTATTGAATTCATTAAAAACAGTTATCTCTGATTAGGTTGTTTTATAACATATTTGCTAAAATGAGAGTTTTGTACTATATATCTAATTATTATACAAAATATCTATAAGAGTTAGAAACAAAAAATACTTCTTTAATTTAGACATCTAAAATTTGATTAAGAGAAGTTATATCCTGATCAAATTCCTCATGTGGATAGAAGGACAAGTGTATTTCACAGCACCTTACAGATTCACTATCACTGTTTTCTTCTGCATGAATAAACACAGAAACACACATTCAAACATTTTTTAATTTAACCACTGTTTTCAGCAGCTTTTAAAAGTATAATTAAAGATCAGAAATGGAAAGTCACAATTTCTCAGAAAAATCAGTTTTTAAAACATTATGACTCAGCACTAGCCTGGTTAAAACCAGACCCTGTCTTTCACTTTGCCTCGTACAAGTGTCTGGACTTGATGCATAGAGAAGTGATTCTTGCAGGAGGCGTGGCCTCTGCTGAAGCATGTATGTGTTGTTGCTGTGACAGAGGCTAAGCTAAGAAGCTAACCGGAAATCGCATGTGCTGTAAACAACCCTACTGAGAGGAGAAATATACCGAGACGCTGTAAATGAGAGCTGCTGCTTTGTCAGACAAATTTATTTTAATTTGAAGCCTTATCAACACGGACTGGCTTCATTCACTTCCTCCACTGCTGTATGCTAAATACCAGAAACTGCGCAGAACATCAACGTCATTCAAAAACTCCTCCTTCTGTACTCTGATTGGCCCGGCTAAAAATCTGCCAGTGAAATCCATCTCAATGGGAGAAGTCCCAGACGGAGCAGAGAAGGGAAACTAGAATCGAGCGGAGCTGCGTAGGAAGGCAAGGGCCAGGCTAACAGCACCTGTGAGGAGCTGAAACACAACCCAACTCAAAAAAAGTTGGAACGTTGTGTAAAACAAATTAAAAACAGAATGATGATTTGCTAATGTTTCTCAACATTTGATTGAATACACTACAAAGATATTTAATGGTCAAATGGATAAATTTATTTATTTTAAAATATTTTTGTTTTTTCAAATTTTCACATATTTTGAATTCGATGCTGCAACACGCTCCAAAAATGCAGGGAGAACGGTCGAGCTGGTAAACCAGGTTCACTTTATGGAACCAGGTTAATATGAATCAATCACTAAAATAACCTGGTTCCATGTGCTGTATGTCAACCCCTTCTGACATTTACCTGTATACTGAGCCTCAGACATATGTAATTTTAGCAAAAAATCTGTATTAATCACACGCACGTGCAGTTGTGTGTGTGTGTGTGTGTGTGTGTGTGTGTGTGTGTGTGT